CATGTCAGAGAAAACAAAGAGCCATGTATAGGTTATGTTGCTGTTTTTTGTTGTTAGTATGTTGAAAATGACCGAATAAACAGGTCGAAATATCCAAATGAAAGGTTTAAAAAACATTATTAATTGAATATTCAACATTCAAACAAAACAAGTTACACATATACATCAAGTTATTAATGTCATATTTAAAAGAGTATAAACCTGATATGAACGACTTTATTAAAAAGAAAAAGAAAAAAGTTAGTGTAATATTAATCTTGTCAATAAATAAATGACAAAAAAGATTTTTCTTTAAAATTTCACGGACATAAGTAGCAGTATACTTACGCTTTCTCATCTACTGTCATTTATAATCCTTATCAATAATAACAAAATAATAGTCCTAACAAAGAGGATAGTAATGAAACACATCATAATATAATTTTCGTTTAATACTACTGCTGCCTATTACTGACATTACTGGAGTTTTAAAGGATGCGATACTGCATTTTCAATATGTAATCAGTTCGATGAGTTTCACTTTTTAGCTCCAATAGGGGAAGTTCTCTCTTCTAACAAATTATTATTTTTTTCAACTTATTTGTTTTTAGACACTGGATTATTTGAAATTGTTCGTACGGCTTTTAAACGTAGTTTAACCCGTTTTTCAATGAAACATCCATGGTTCGATGGTAGCTCCGATGTCATGAGATACACTCAAGCCACATTGAAAAGTGGTTTACACGTTGGTGAAGGTTGTCGATTGACACCGAGCTTATGTTCGGGAGATGAACAATGTTGTTCAGGACGATGTTTATGTCGAAAATGGTTACTGATGGGTGAAGAACGATGCCTTAGAAAATGTTTTTAACTATGTTTTTTTGTAAAATCACTATGACAATCGGAAGCAAAAATGTAATGAGGTCATTCGATATCTTTCTCTCTAGTTCAGTCAACAGCGTTTTTTTTGTTCATAGTTTTATACTTTTATAATCAAATCAGCAACAGAGATACTAATCTATTTACTAGTTGAAAGATATAACAACGTATAGAAAATGTATGATGAAAAAACTATGATAATGGAAATTATACCTAATTGTATAACAAATATTCGTAGTATTTTAAAATCGATGCCAACAAAAATTGATATTCTACGTATAAAACGTTTAATTCGTTTACAAAAAATTTTGGCAACACATATTATCAGTGAACATGGTTATTTCAAAGTTCATGGACCATCGACATACTATCGAATTGGAATTCGCTATAACAAAACGCACTATGTTGATCAAGAGACGTATGATCGTCTCGGATTTTCACCTGTACGTAATAACCCCAGAAATTTTATCGAAAATGAAAAACGGTTAAATAAAATATACGATGTTATCGACGAATATCGAATGAATAGGAACGATGTAAGTAAGTTATTATACAACAATAACCGTTCTCTAATATGTCAAATATGTTTACGTCCAACGACTAAATGTAAATGTAAACAAATTTATTTACATCCAAAATTAGACAAGCAAACTCAATACAGTATTGAATATGGTAAAAAAAATAATCTGTTCTCAGATTCCTAGATAAAGAGAAATGTTTCTGAAATAATTTGATTATTGTATTTCATTCTACTTTGAAAGATTTGGCATCGAAAGTACAACAAATTAAAGAGAACAGAAATGACAAAAAAAAAGAATTTCTTCATCCAGGAAGGTGTGAGGAACTGCTATTAACTGTATCATCATTTCGCGAACAAATCATTAAAATAATTGAACAGAAAAATTTATGTTCACCTGAAATTATCAAACAACATTTTGTACTACAAAGTAGAGTGATAGCAAATGGTCATTCGACTAGTATAAGGAGAAATAAGTTGTCATCATTTGATAATTTAAAACAAAGTCGTGCTGCTTTTATTACAAAATGAGATTGGGAAAATATTACACAAGATATTGTCGGTTTGCTATTGCCCATGTATAAGAAAATGATTTAAACGATATTTCTCAAACGTTTTCGACAATTATAAAAAAATCAAACATTACAAAACGTCGTAACAATGAAACGTACGGAAGCAACAAAATAAAAGAGCGTTGAATTTTTTACAAATTATGCCGTCATTAATAAAATTTGATCGCAAACTACGTCATTGATCTTTTCTTTTATACGTGACAATCGAACAAAATGAATGATGCAAAAGGTCTAAATTATATATAACTCACGTTTACTAACACATCAATAGTCTGTTAACTCTATGCCCAGAAACAATCTTAGCGTATATACTAAATTCTAGATATCTGAATACTGAATAAGTCTCTTCAGGACACTCATTCAGGACACTGATAAAAGAATATATAATAAAAATGCCAACTAAGTACCCGATCAGACTGATTGGGTATCCAATTGCTGACAGAGTTCTGCGTGATGTACTATATAAATACTATTTATTTTTAGAAAATAATAAAGTTCTTTTCACTAATACATAGACGACTCCCTTGACATGCGCAAGATCGAGTTGTCTACTACACAAAAGTATTTACAGTGATCACTGGCAGATGACCTATTTAAAAAATAATTAATAAAAAATTACCTTGATTATGTGAAAATATGTCGTAAGAGTACCCTTTTCGTCAAATATCGAAATAGACTTTTAGGTATTAAAATGTTCCCATTCAAAATACCAGAACGATCAAAAAACAATTCCAGTTCACTAAAATTATCATTTAATAAAAAATATCGTGAGCTAAAACATTTAAATAAAAAAAAGATTTCCTTGAAGCAGCTGAAAATCACTGAGAAAGGAAGAAGCACGGAATGAAGGAAATATGAATTGAAAATAGTCAAAAATCTATAACTGCCCATAATAGATCCTGCGATATTCTATACTTTTTACTATAATATACCAGAACTCTCCGATTTTCTTGGTTAAAACAGCATTTTCAATTGAGATTCTACAGGATAGAGATCGATGATAGTATCGTTCAAAAAGTATATTGTACATAAAAAACGAGCTTTCAAGTTTTAACCTATATCCATAAATGTAATCTTCAACACAAATTCATAACACCAAGATCACGAGTCCCTAGTAATATTCCCGTTCCATTCTTGCTGAGATCTGATCGCGAACTCGATTTTTTCCCGTGTAACGAAAAAATGCTGATCTTGACAAAATAAAATCGCGATCTTATATTAGAATCGCGTTCTTCATCAAGTTCGTTATGCGATCCCGTTTCATTTGTGTTTCAAGACAGTGCCGGGATCGCGGCAGGATTATAGCAAGATCGTGTCTAATACAAGACAAGATTTTGAGGAGATTTTTCCTTTGCCCACCGTTGAGGATCCTTAAACTATCAAAGTACAAAATCAATCCTCGCACGAAACTAGTATCACGCTGACTTCGTATTTTCCTTTATCCCGGTCTGTAACGATGTAATATTTTTTTATTTCGTCCATCCGTCGATAGAAGAAGAAAAACAGACAGACAGTGTGCGTATATTATCGTCCAATGTGTTCTCTTTTAACATATGTAACAGATATACAATACAAGTCAATTATAGTCATTGCCTAGCTTTTTAACGGAGTTGAATGAGTGTTTTTTGGGTTTTGTTGTAGTTAATGAAAATAGACTAACTGTTTGACTATTGTCATCAGTAAGTACACAGCAATTTTCGAGAGGGAAGAGCATTCGGATCAATTTTTTTGTCACAAACTTGAACTATTTTCTTCTTGATAGTTTTAGAATCGAAAGAGAATATTCTTTCTCGGACAATGCATCAAATCTAAAGTCTTCTCCGATGTGTAGGTTCAGTTAAATATGTTGACTGTGCAGAGATCTCAGAATGAAAAGTCAACAGTGAGAGAAATGCACAAGGTTGAATTATCACAAATTGTGGGTTACCTCGGTGTAAAATCGCTTTGCTGTTTGAGTCTTTCAGAATGTAGCAACGATCATTTCGATCCTGTTTGATGCACAGAATAGCGGCATAGCCAGAGCACGTCAATCACAGGACGCAAGATTGGCTCTAGCAACGAACTGATTCGAGTGTCAAGTATATCTATACATACACATTCACTGGAAGTTCAAGAGTGAATGTTTTCTTCACATACGGCAAACGTTACCTTATTGGCACAACTCACAGATGAAACACAAAGACAGTCCCTCTCACTTCTATTCTGAGAAGCTAAAGATACATCTGAGATGAAACTTCTCACCGGCAAAAACAATATCATACTTTAGATGAGGAAATTAATAACAGTTCAACTTTGTGACATTGAAATGAAATGGAGCCTATAATTCAAAACAAAAAAATAAATTGCTAAACTCTGAAGGTGTTCTAGGAGAAAATCTCTAATTACTTCATGTTCTCGAAGAAAATACCGAGTAAAACATGATGAAATTTGGTGGAAAAGAGATTAAACCATCGAAAGAATGTAGTGACAATCAGATAAGTGGTAGGAAAGCTTTCTCAGTCTTCCTGCAACCTTGTTCTAGTCATACCGGGATCTTGGTACGATCTTGTCCGGGTCCCGTTGCAATCTTTGCAGGATTTTAGCGCGATCCCGTCAACAAATTTTTGCGTCAAGATTGTCAAATTTCCGTTACACGAGCTTCCTAGTCGACTCTTCCCAAAAAATGGGATCACCCTCAAAGTTCCTGGAGATTTCCCGAAATATGTAATCCCTATGGAGTCCCCAATATGTGCAGTTTCCGGGGGGTCGCTTCCAACTCCCCATTCACCGTTTGTTTTGCAGACAGACAATATATAAATATAATGTAGTTCTATGATAAAATTCCGAATTTTCGTCTAGTAAGTCATCATTGATGTGTCAACCTTCGTTGGCTGGTATATGCTATACTGGTACCAGTGATGGGATCTGGCACTTAATTACTAATCAGTTATATGAAACTAAAAAAGATGGACCAATAGACCCCAGGAATTTTTAGGGGAGTCCCTGAGGACTTGCTTGGGAAGTGGTGATTAGAGAGATAGATATAAAGACTCTTAATAGATGTTCAGATGAAAAGTTTAAAAAGGTGTTAAATGAATTAAATAATATATCTCTTCAACATACGAAACTGCGCAAGTGCAGACAGATATTACCTTTTTTAATTCAATGCCTTTGAAAACTTCCGTTTTTCGATAGAAGAATGATTTTATTTTTTGTAAAAAAGTACTAGCAGAACTTCTTCCACAACAACGCAAACATATTTTAATCTTAAATTATCGTATAAGAAAAAACTGTTGTTCTACTTACTTTATGTAATTTTATACTCGTATCAACATTTGGATTTATTGAAATTATATTTATATTTTCAAAGTGACTGACCAGTTCCGTTTTCTCTTGAACAGAACAGGACGCTGCTGGCACCTGTTTTGTGACAACCTGCTTGATTTTCTGTATCCCTTCAAGTTTCAAATCTACTTGCAGAGAAGTTGAAAAACAAACAAACCTATGAGAAGGAGAAAAAATAATTCATCAGAATGTTTTTGCCTATGCCAGAAACTGATGTCGCTCGAATAAAATCTGATTGGTTGGTTGATCAGCTGATTGAACAGTAATTCTTCTCTGAAGCAATACGCGCGCTCACATATTGATATATATCTCTATATATACAATAATTGAACTGGATGTTTTTCTTACATTGTTAGTAGCTGTTGATCATCATTTAGATCCTTGTATCGTCAGTAATGTTGCCTTGATTAGTCAGCAGGATCTTTTAACAACGGATCCATATATATGAATTACAGAATATATGGACAGTTTATAACTTTTCTTCTAGTTTCTTATTTGACGCGATAAGGTCCATTTGAATGATAACAGTGACGGTTTTGGATTTACAAAAATCACAAGCTAAGGTTCATCTTTCATGGAAATCTCTGCTTGTTCCCTCGTGAGTTTTATATCAATCAATAAAGCATTATTCTGTTTCTTTATCCATGTGTAAAAGCCTCTGTCCTATAGTTCTCTTAGCCTATATATGACCGGTGTGCATCAAAATTTATCTCAGTCGATATATTATTATTTCGTGTATGAGCCATTGTGCTATATACAAAGGACTATTCTGAGCGCATACTAGTAGCGAAAATACTCAAATGACGGACTAATAAAAAACTAACGGTGCTGCTAGAGAAAATGTGAGATGATCACACTAGAAATATACGAAAATTCTTTTTTTCCAATTAGTCATTCTTTGTGAATGTACTGACACACAAATGAGGTCATTCTTCCGAAAGGAATTCATTTTATTCAAAAGAACAACGTCATCACTATGATTTACTACCTATAACTATTGATCTACATACAACTTATTTCCTCTACGATAGACACTGTTATTGAGCGTCATCGAAGAAAGTGTGACCATTTAGTATTGATATTGACATCATGCTTCGAGTTTAAATAAGTTCTAGATTTTATTTTCATTCCAGATGTAGATTCAATAAGGTATTAAACTTTATCGCTTTACTTTTATGAACGAACTATTCATTTATTTTTGTATCAGAAAATAACAGATGAATAGTGCAGGTAAAATAATTTCATTTGATTTTCATTAATTTATTAATTAGAGAATTGTTTTTGTTTAACTTTTTAGCACTTTCTCTCGCTGCTAGTATGTTTGAAAGTGCGCTTGACAATGAACAAAGTTTGTCAGATACGAATAGTGAATTGTACATACTTGGTATAAAATACACAACACCAAATGGTATGTTGGCGAAAAAATATGACTTTATGCTTATCTTTATCTTATTTATTTGTTTCAGATGCTTGCGCGATTAGTGATGATATACTTAGTCGATATTGGTTTACTTATCGAACAAATTTTGCTCCCATCGGTATAATCAAATAAAATGGAATGTAATAGTAAATGAATAATGATTTTCTTTTCTGTCTTTTTAGGTGGTCCCAGTGGTCCGACAAAAGACACTGGATGGGGTTGTATGATGAGATGTGGACAAATGATGCTAGCCGAAGCATATCTTCGTTTTTTTCTTCCAGCTGGACGATGTATGTATTGTGACAAAAAACATTTTAATGTAATTCCTAACCAATCTTTCTATTAAAGATTTTCGTTGGCATCCAAATTCAACAGATAAATCATATTGGGAAATATTAAACATGTTCATTGACAGAAAACATGCGTCCTATTCTATACATCAAATCGGTTTGTAGTGGTAAATTTTTGATCTGGTTGCTCGAGTAGAAAACTGATTATATTTAGTGGCATATAGATGAGACGTTTATTTATCTTTCTTGTTTTTTTTTCTCTTAGCACAAATGGGTACATCAGAAGGAAAAGAAATTGGTCAGTGGTTTGGTCCAAACACAATTGCACAAGTTCTGAAGTAAGCAAAAAATGTTTCAAATCATGTAGAGCGATTCCAAAATTCATTTTTGTCTCTGTAAGTTAAAAGTCAAGTAGAAAGAAAATGGTGCGTATTTTGTGTTAAATGATGTATATATTTGATGTGTTTTTGCGTTTTACTAGCTTTGATAGAATTAACTCGATAATAACTTGTTTTTTTTCTTTATATTTAGACGTTTAGCATCAAATGAATTTGACAAACAAGTGACTATACACGTTGCAATGAACAACATACTTATTATTGAAGATGTTTGTAAGTAATCAGATTCTTCAATGTTTTCCGTTATTCATTTTCTCGTTTACCTGTCTTTTTTAAGTAAAATTATGCCGTCTCAATTCAAAACAACAATCACAGTCGGCTGTTGTATATAGTAATGAGAATTCCAAACAACAATCAACAAACTGGAGACCACTCATACTGATTATTCCGTTAAGATTAGGTTTGAACGATGTCAACATAGAATATATTGATCAACTAAAAGTATGCTGTACCCTTGTTTGTTTATTTTTGTTTCCTTTAATATTGAGATAATTTAATAATTTTAGATTTGTCTCAGAATACCTCAGACTATCGGATGTATTGGTGGAAAGCCCAATCATGCATATTATTTTGTGGGCTATTTAGGTATGAGTTCATATCTTGTTTTATTGACCAGGTTTCTTGACAGGTCTCATCATTTATTTCAGATCCATCTGAATTACTCTATCTTGATCCACATGTTACTCAGTCTTTTGTTGATACTACTGTACAAACAGACGATATGACATATCATTGTGATCGTATTAATCGTATGAAATTTTCTGGACTTGATCCATCGTTGGCTTTGGTACGATAGGTTCGTGTTTTTAAATGAGATTAGTCAATGGTTTTTATTTTTATTTTAGGGTTTCGCATGTAAAACAGAAGCAGAGTTTGAGGATCTTATTGAGAAATTAAGAAAAGTAAGTACATTTTGGATCTTTTATTCATGTTTACTTTTACGATCCTTCTGAAAATATTGATTCCGATGTAACAGCGGATTATTAGTAAAGATGTATATTGTAAATTTTTTTTTCTAGAATTTAAGTGAGACAACGAAACACCCAATGTTTGAAATATGCGATTTAAATCCATTTGATTCGCATCCTCAAACGATTCCAGATAATGAGGGTATGCCATCAGACGTATTTATAGTAAAATTATGGTCGTTATAAATAGTGAAAAACATGCTATGATTTTTATTCTAGCCGTTAAATGGGATTCTGATGATGATTTTGAAGTTGTATAGACAAGCTTTTGGAAATTTATTAAATTCCTCTTTGTAATCAAAATTTTATATCGCTAAAATTGCCTTGAAGTTATACAAGGCTTTTAAGAAGACAGTGATTTTTTGATATTTTTGACAAATATACAACAATTTTCTCTTAAATTTTGATACAATAAGTTGTATTCACTTATGAATGGGATTACTTAGGTCTGAAGCTTTTTTTTGATCTTTTTTATTTATAATAATAGCGTAAAAACTAATATTCTGTTCTATTTGTGTAATTTATTCGTTTTCGTTACGATTCTTTTTCTGTACTTACGTGTAATACTTGTTTTTCATACAATGCGAACATTTTATCTCGCTCAATTACTCATTATTGTTGCTTTTAAGATGAGTAAGTAAGCTACCGTTTAACATCTAACTTAATGCTTGATTTGTTCCAACCTTGAGTTCAGAGATAGGCTCGTGATAACCAGTAAGACAATTTTTATTTTGATTGGATTTGTATAACCAGCAAAAATTACAAGAACATAATCAACTGAACGAGCAATCAACAAGTTTTTATTTTTATTAAATAAGCATGTAACTGTAGCAGAGTAAAATACTGATGAATACAAGAATGAGCTCGTCAAATATTTATCATTGTGTCTAAAACGAGGTTATTTCTACTTCTTCTTAGGCATATGTGTCATTGGTGACTTTCGTAACAATTCACCAAATGCCATAGCATTAGAAGCTGTTGACATGTGGATCAAATGTGGAGTAGAAAAAGGCTACGTAAATCCAACATATTACATACTAACACATTTACAATCTCAATTACCTCGATACACAGAATGGTAAATATATAAAGTCATATTATTTATTGGATTATTAATTGCCCTTATCATCTATTTAGCCCTGGAAAAGGTTTATTTGATAAAATAAAAATCCAACCAAGATTCTGTCCATATCAAAATTTT